GCTCCCGAAATTTCGACCACCTGGGCTTCTTTAACGTGCACCCAAATCTGAGCACACGAGCCTACAACATATCCGCCTCCGACGGAACTGCAGCCGCCACAGCCAGGATTCGATCCCGGAACCTGCGGGTCAGCAGCCGAGTACCTTACTAGACCACCGTGGTGGGGCAAGAGCTATCGCACTGATATGGCCGATTCAATCAAGTGCGATAACTGCAACCTTGTAGAGACTATTGACCACGTCTTGTGCCACTGTTCTGTGGTTAACTGAATCGCCGGACTTTTTTAGTGTGCACTGAAGAGATTCGATTATCGACCCTTTACGTAATAAAAGATATTGGAAGCATGGTGTCGAAGTACATCGGCCCAGAAAGCTACACGAGTCCCCCTTGAGTTTTTGAAGGCACCATCCCCGACCGACCGCCTGTGAAACACTTGCATGTGTGTGTGGTGTTCAATGTGTGTCGCCTTCTCTCTGTTACCCCCTTATTCCCCTCTCCCCCATCTGTAGGGTAGCATACTACCCGTACTCTAGCTAACCTTCTTACACACATTACATTCCTTCACTGTTTCTCATCAGTGGCAAGCATTGATAGATCGACAAGAATACTGCTAACCGGGCGGGTTGGCGCATGGTAAAACGATATTGCTTTAGCGCTGCAGCTCAGTTCGAGCGTGAAGAAAAGATGCTATACAGTCAAAAGGGGGGAAAAAACCTGACGACAGTGTGAAAAAGCTGGAAGCTATAGCGCTCACAGCGTCTAAACTATAAGTTAGGACACACGTTGCGAAGTGGACACAACAAGTCCTGTAACCGTAACGCTCTGTTTTAATCGTGCAAAACCAACTAGCCCAATACTCTCCTTTCATGATCTTCGATACCACCACTTAGTTCTAGGTAACGAAAGCCTTGCTTTAGAGCTTCCCTAAAAAGCCTCTGAAAACGCTAACGAGTGCGTTAAGGCCATCTGACGTGAAGGGGGTAATGAAAGCACCGATGGGTGAATTTTTGGTCCCCACGCGCTAAAGGCATCGAGTTTCCTAATATATACACTAGAGGGAGCTCTGGCGCTATAGTGTCTATGAGAGCTGCAACGCACGGCGCTTCAGCGAGCATGGGAATGATGGGTAGTACACGCATTTGTATAATCTTCGTACTTCTGGCCTACTTTTGGCTCCGTGTGTGTACGTGTGGCTTGGAGCTGTTTTCTCCCGAAACAAAAATCAGTAAATGTTCAGCGGTCGCGCTTCACCACCTTATTCTTTCAGACTCACCTTTCCAAATCGGGTCACGAAGTTTAAAAGGTTGAGTTTTTCTTTCAGAACCAAACTGAAACACAGCAACAAATGAAGCCTCAAATGCGATTCGCCGCCCGCAAGTACGAAGACTAGGCAAATGTGTGTACTACCCATCATTCCAATGGTCACTGAACGCTCGCAGCGACAGATATGTGGGGTTTAACGTCCCAAAACCACCGTATGATTATGAGAGACGCCGTAGTGGAGGGCTCCGGAAATTTCGATCACCTGGGGTTCTTTAACGTGCACCCAAATCTGAGCACACGGGCCTACAACATTCCCGCCTCCATCGGAAATGCAGCCACCGCAGCCGGGATTCGATCCTGTGACCTGCGGGTCAGCAGCCGAGTACCTTAGCCACTAGACCACCACGGCGGGGCTCATTGCCACGCAGTGGCAATGAGCCCCGCCGTGGTGGTCTATTCGATTCGATTCCAGCTGGGACTCTGAAATTTATTCTTTGCATTGGTCGGGGCGACGCTACCGATGTCGGGTATTTCTTAATGCTAATCTTCGTGAAACGTCAATAGTGGTTGCAGTGCTGCCTACCAAATTTTATAAACATATTGCACATATGTACTGCTTTGACGCAGCGGTCACGTCGGGTTAACGTCAATTGGGGTTATAGAGTTGCCATGCGCGGAAATTTATTTTTGCGTAGAAGTGTCCAGGGCTGCAGCATCCTCGCGAGCATCAGCGCTTCATATCAGCTTCAGGTGTTGCTAATACGCATGTTCCAGGTGGCATCGTTGCACAAGGGCAAACAACTGGTTATATCAACATCTGAAACTCTTCAACATGGGTCTGTGCGTACAACATTTGTACCATTTTAGCTTCATTTCATGACGTGTCGCCCAATACAAAAAAAAATTGCAACACGGTCGCCTTGCCTCCGCATGCTTCGCATAACGTCGATCCCCAGGTATATACGTGGGATCTGCTGAATTTTTTGTTATCTGTTCCTTCAATTTCTTCTTTTCGTTTTGATGGATGTGCACTCACAGGAAGTTGTGTAATGTAGAACGTCGCCCCGTATTTTGTTTCTTAGGCAAGAGAACCCTCACCGTGAACTCAATGTATAAACTATATATATGTGGCTACTTTTTTTTTTTTTGTCAACAAACTTCCTGCTGCGTTGTGCACCTGTGGCGTCGTTTCTTCGTTGCTTAATCTGCGCCTATTAGTGCCTTTCTGTCATCAGAATCAAAAGGCGCGAACTAGCCGAAACTCCAGCTTCGCTATGTTACAACACACAGTGTGTCACATTGCTCATGCGCAAAGCGCTTTTTCGTCTTTGCAATACTTCCGGGTAGGTTCGTGCCAAAAATAACAGCAAGCACATTAACTAGAGACACCGATGTTCGCACGGATTGTTCGCAATTTTGGGCAGGTAGCGCTGACAATCTTTGAATGGGCTTCATAATAGTAATTCCGCGACCCTAGCGCTGTAACGGTCGCCCGTCGCTTTGCACCTGTCTCGGTGCGTGGAAAGTTTCCGAACGTAGACCGGCATATCGCCCGACGCGACAGGATTGATTTAATGACTACCTGGCTACCGCGCGGAACAGCTAGGGTGCGCGATTTCAAGGGCGAAGCACCTTTAACGCCGCACAATGTCCCTCCGTCCATAAATCGACGCCCGGCGTGTACAGCAGATGGGGAAACCAAAAACATCTGTGAACAACGAAAAGGTTATCGAAAGGCTGTTAATCAGAACAAACAAGATAAAAGGACACAACAACGAAAGAACACCGACATTATCCACCCATAAATCAGGACATATGACAGAACAAAAGGTTAACAAGAAAGAATATAAAAGGCTGTTAACCAGAACAAAATAGAAAGCCACGAATCATCATTTGATGCGCGCTGCTTCGTCTCATCGTCAGTTCACTCTTTGAGCATGCGTAGAATTTGTCAGCTCCAGCAGTAGGCGCTACGCTCGAGCCATTTCCTCTGGCTTCGCATAGGACGGCTTTAAGCTCTCCCATAGTAGAGTACCTAGTACTCAAAATCGTCGACCACTCTTTCTAAACACAGCGTTTTACTGCCATCAGGCCGTAGCAAGCAACGCCGGCCTCAACTGTTGGGCAATTTCACCGATTTCACGTTCGTGTGGTGTTACACGGGAGCCTGCGAGAAGCATTTATGGGGAAAAAGTGTGTGTGTGGGGGGGGGGGGGGGGGGGGAGAATCACGTGTTCGCGAGGATTTTTCATTAAAGTTTCTATGAGAAGTCAAACGGGTGCTGTCTGTGTGCCCTTTACAGCGCCGTAATTCGGTACCAAGAAAGGTGCAGCAATTGCAATGACTGCGTTTAGCTTTGACTTGGATTACAGGATGAGTCCGGGTGGAAAAATTCAACCGACTGAGATTATTCGACGTATTCACATGAATTCACGGTAGACGAAACGCTTTCTCTTTCTTTTTTTTCCCTTGACCGCGCATACAAATTTGGCCAGCGCTGGCATAAATCGAACAGTCGATCTTTTTTAAATGGCTTCGCAACAGCATCACAGCTTTAAAAAAATGAAATACAAAATGAAATAACTACGGTAGCCACTTGCATACGTAAGACTGTATCAACTGACCCCCTTTCATTTCAATACCGTACTGAAGTCCGCGCATGCAAGCACTTTGTTTTTGTTTTGTTTTTTAATTCAGAATTCTCGGTTGGTTGGTTGACCCTCAGATTGGCGCCACCCACTATAACGAATCGGCGATGTAACTGGCGGTACCTTGTTATATAAACGAATTTGTTTAAAATTTCTAAATGTTTAGCAATATATAGTTTTCGAAATAACTCATTAGCCTAAGTCACAAAAAACAAGAACAGAGAAAAAATAATAACGTTGTAGAAGAATAAGTTTAATTTAGATAATATAATCATTCAATTAATTCCGTCTCGCGTAGGAAATCGCATACTTCATCACAAGTGCTCCTGTTGCTGTGTCTTTTTTTTTTGAGAATTTAAATTTTATATTATCCTCTGCTTTATCATTTTGGAAGTATATTTATCGTGAAAAAAAAACTACGGGCGTTATTGTACGCTTTATAAGATCACGTGATTGCTGCACGTGTAGCTCGTCACCACAGAAAATGTATCCTCACACAACATCTGGTGAGGGGCGTCAAGCGATACATCGGGCGCGTATCAATGAAAACATGAAAATTAACGCGGAATGTGCGCTGACCTGAATGCTACTGATTTTCTGTTTTATAGCTAGGCTGCACAACGCGCGTTTGGCGGGATGCGAGTGTCCTGTCAATCATTTAAATTTACATATTCCATAAACGGTCACAAATTTGTAGAAGAGAAATGCTAATCAGATTCAGATCCTAATTTCTGAGAAAAAAAAAGAAAATAAAGCGCGTATCCAAGAAAATTGGAAGCGGTGAGTAAAGTTCAAAGTCTACTGGTCGGTTGTAACTGCGTCGATGTTAAGTTCGCGGTCCCGGCTACTAAGCCAGAAAAACAATTCCGATCTCTGTTTTCCTTTTCTTTTGATTAACAGTCTCCTAAAAAAATTTTGCTGCCGTGTTACGCCCAGTGATTAAAGCTATTCCGGACGAAGTTCTGGCTTGTTGTGGCATCTTCCTCGAAAACTTTGCAAGTGCGCTCAAAACCTACCCTAACGCGCGCGACAAGTTGAGTGACGATCCGTACGCGCCCGAAAACTAAACTCCGAGAGAAACGACTTACCTCCCGGCTGCACAGGTAGGGGGGCACTGTAGTGGACCACCACGGATGACGTCACTCCCGATGGCCTCGGGGCACAGTGTCGGCTCGTCCAAGTCCGACCTTAGGACGACGTTTAGAGCGCTGCCACCGACTCCATCGACGACACGGTACAAAGTCCGGCGCACTTTTGCCGCTAGCAGACGATTTCCCACCACGGCGACACAATCGCGACGCCCCCCTTCAACATCTCCCTCCCTTCTTCTTTCCCCGTATTTGCGAGCAAGTGTCGCCATCTGTTGCCCGAACGCTCGGAAAAATCGTTTTACTAACACGGGCTCCGAGACGGCAAGGCAGTGAGGTAATCACAGAGGACGTGCTTGGTTGCATTAGCGAAAATGATCTTTACGGCTAGAGCAGTGCATGGACTCGGACCTACTCCAAAATCCGATCCCATCCCGACGCGACTTAGGGGTAAAGTGTTTTGTTTGTTTGTTTTTTTTTTTCGGGGAGCCCGAGCCTGGTTTGGATCTGAAGCTCCGGGCTTAGGGACGGGCCCGTTGTTCAAAGTGGCGGGCTTGTATCGGGCTTGGTCTTCGCTCAGTTCATATTCTGTCTCAAAAAAAAAAAAAAAAATGAAAAGGTGTTTTTGCGTGGGACAAGCTGTGTGGAGAAGTTTTATGAGGAGCAAGTACTGAACTTCTTTTGTGCATTGCATGTAGACGAGGCGCGGGCGAAAACTTGAACTTTCGAGTCGAATTGAATTACGAGTCAAATAGCGACGACACCTAATAGAATACGAATACAGGCTTAAGTACTGTTCAAATAGTTTAAGTGTAGTAAAGCAGTCATTTTCAAAAGAACCCTACTATTTTAAAGCATTCAATTTGAACCAAATATTCAGAGCATTAACAAAATATAATGACACTTTAAATCAATCATCCAAACATAACACAATCATGAAAACTGGGGTCAGCAGCTGAGGTCAGCATAACGCGGCGACTAGAGGCTGTGAGGTATTCTGTAGGTTGAAATACAGGCGTGGCTACCGTATTCAAGGTTATACTACTCTATAACATGTAAATATAGTTGAAACAAAAGTTAAACAATGTCGAACTGCATTCACCACACATACGGCTGAACAGGTATAAGGAAGCAGATAAACCGCTAAGCATCATCGCAGAATACTGTACCTGCAAAAAAACTTACTCAGACACAACACTTTCCTCTGTTGTCATTCGTCTAGAGGTTTGCAAGAGTTACACTTTTGAAGCCGAATGAAGCCTTATACATTACAACGTGAACACATTAACTGACTGACGCAATGCACAATGCTTAAAACAAGCAATATTACCCCTCTCTGACACAGATTTTAGTGCACGTTAAAGAACCCCAGGCGGTCGAAATTTCCGGAGCCCTCCACTACGACGCCTCTCATAATCATAGGGTGGTTTTCGGACGTTAAACCCCACATATTGTCACGATGAGTCACAAGTACTGGGGGGATTTATTGAACGACCGGGCAGCTAGCTCTAGGACGATGCGTCAGTCGTGGCTGGCTCTCGAGCAGAGAAGAACGCGATCTTCTTTTTTCCTTCAGATTTAGAGCCGCTCTTGTTGCCAACCCACTACGTGCTGGCGGCATTATCCCCCCTTCCGAAAAGAAAAAAAACAACAAGTACCAAAAAGATGAAAGGAAAGTACATAGCAGCACCGCGATGTTACTACATAGGCACGTAAAAAAAATTGGAAATTCGGATGAAGTGAAAGTAAAAATTGAAGAGCGTGCCAACATAGGAAACGTCAATGAACGAGAAAGTAAGTTCGCAAAATAAACAAAAAACACAAAGAACGCTGTACGGTAAAGGAAAAGTTACGAACAACGCGCAATAAATGGCTTCATGCGCAACACATGAACGACGTCCGGCCTCAGCCGTGTCCTGCTCCGTGCATGGGGTGTTGAGTCCGGAACCACTTCGTAGTTCACGTCACTGACGCGGCGTAACACTTTATATGGGCCAAAGTACCGGCTCAGCAACTTTTCACTAAGGCCACGGCGGCGGACGGGCGTCCACACCCAAACTTGATCTCCGGGGCTGTAAAACACTTCTCTGTGGCGGGTATTATAGCGTCGTGCGTCTGCCTGCTGTTGCTGGCCGATGTGCAGTCGCGCGAGCTGCCGGGCTTCCTCGGCACGCTCTGCGAATTCTTCGGCGTCTGTTGCCAACTCGTCTTCGTCCTGACAAGGTAGCATTGAGTCTAGCATGGTCTGCACTTCGCGGCCGTAGAGAAGCCGAAATGGCGTGAATCGCGTGGTCTCTTGCACGGCGGTATTATACGCGAAGGTCACGTAAGGCAAGATCCGGTCCCATGTTTTGTGCTGTACGTCGATGTACATTGAGATCATGTCTGCGATGGTCTTATTCAGTCGTTCAGTAAGTCCGTTGGTTTGCGGGTGGTACGCAGTTGTCCTTCGGTGTCTGGTGTTGCTCAGTTTGAAAACTTCGTCCGTAAGCTGCGCCGTGAATGCCGTCCCTCTGTCCGTTATTACACTGGAAGGAGCACCGTGTCGTAACACGATGTGGCGCATGAAAAATTGTGCTACCTCAGAAGCCGTGGCTCGTGGGATCGCCTGGGTTTCAGCGTAGCGTGTCAAATAGTCGGTCGCGACGATCACCCATTTGTTGCTGTCCGCAGACATAGGAAAAGGCCCGAGAATGTCCATGCCGACTTGGTCGAACGGCGTGCAGGGTGCTTCAATGGGCTGAAGCAAACCAGCTGGCTTAACAGATGGTTGCTTTCGGCGCTGACATTCCCGACAGCTCTTCACGTACTTCTTGACGCTTGCCGAAAGTCCTGGCCAATAGTACCTCTCACTCACTCTGGCAAGTGTTCGTGAGTAGCCCAGATGACCGGATGTGGGTTCGTCATGGCAAGCGAAGAGGACGTCGTCTCGCATGTCTCGAGGAACCACCAGGAGGTAGGCACGGTTGTTCGAACGAGCGTTCTTCTTGTACAGCACACCATCTCGAAGGCAGAACGACGGCAACGAGCGGAATAAATGACGTGGTATGATTGTGTCCTGGCCCTCTAAATGATCGATGATTGGACGAATCTCTGCGTCATCCCGCTGCCATTTACTCAAGTCTGATGAGCTAATGGCGCCGAGGAAGCCTTCGTCTTCCTCTGCTTCCTGACTGACGACATGAAGGGGCGCGCGTGACAGTGTGTCAGCGTCTTCATGCTTACGGCCGGACTTATGGACGATGGTGACGTCAAATTCCTGCAGCCGCAAGCTCCACCGTGCTAGCCGTCCTGAAGGGTCGCGCAGGCTTGCCAACCAGCAGAGGGCGTGGTGGTCCGTCACTATCTTGAAGGGACGACCATAAAGGTACGGGCGGAACTTGGTGATTGCCCACACGACTGCGAGGCACTCTTTCTCCGTAGTGGAATAATTCGCCTCAGCACGCGATAGAGAGCGGCTGGCGTAGGCTATCACTCTTTCGATGTCTTCTTGACGCTGAACGAGCACTGCGCCGAGCCCAATGTTACTAGCGTCGGTATGGACCTCCGTGTCAGCATCATCGTCGAAATGAGCGAGAACGGGCGCTGATTGCATGCGCTGTCGCAGCTCATCAAAAGCTGCTTGTTGCTCGTTTTCCCAGACAAACGGTGTGTCGTCCCTTGTGAGACGAGTCAGAGGTTCTGCTATCTGTGAAAAGCCATGAATGAATCGGCGATAGTAGGCGCACAAACCAAGAAAGCGCCGGACGGCTTTCTTATCGACAGGAGCTGGTAATTCGGCAACAGCGGCAAGCTTGTCCGGATCGGGACGGATTCCTTCGGCGCTAACTACATGTCCAAGAAACTTTAGTTCTTTATAGCCGAAGTGGCACTTCTGTGGCTTTAGTGTGAGGTCCGCCGATCGGATAGCCTCCAGCACGCTGCGCAGGCGCTGAAGGTGCTGCTCGAACGTGGCAGAGAAGACCACCACATCGTCAAGGTAGACAAGACAAGTCTGCCACTTCAGCCCTGTGAGGACAGTGTCCATCATTCGCTGGAAAGTCGCCGGCGCTGAACACAAGCCGAAAGGGAGTACTCGAAATTGGTATAGGCCGTCTGGAGTCACGAAGGCTGTCTTTTCGCGGTCTCGCTGATCTACCTCGATTTGCCAGTACCCGCTTTTGAGATCGAGAGAAGTGAAATAATGGGCACGACGAAGTCTATCTAGCGAATCGTCGATACGCGGTAGCGGGTACACATCCTTTTTGGTCACGTTGTTAAGCTTTCGGTAATCGACGCAGAAGCGTAGCGACCCGTCCTTCTTTTTGACAAGCACGACTGGAGATGACCACGGGCTGTTGGATGGTTCGATAACGCCATCGTCAAGCATCTCGCGAACTTGCGTACGTATCGCTTCACGTTCTTTAGCCGACACGCGGTAGGGGTGCTGGTGTATTGGGCGTGCGTCCTCGTACGTGATGATCCTGTGTTGAGTGATGGACGTCTGGCGGATCTTCGAGCAACTTGCGAAGCAAGACCTGTACTCGAACAAGAGCGCTCGCAGCGCAGTCTGGTTATCGGTGGACAGATCAGGATTGATGTCAATGTTGCTCATTGATGTGTCTGCGTTATCCACTACTTCTGACGTGAGACAGTTGGTTACGTTTGCTACTTCGTGGGCAAACGCTATCGAAGTGCCACGGAAAAGGTGTCGATTCTCGTTGCTAAAGTTGGTAACGAGCAATTCAGATCGGCCGTCACGAACGTGTATTACACTTCTCGCTACACATATGCCTTGCTGCAGGAGGTGTTCTAAATTTGTCTCGGCCACCACATCGCCATCGCTCAAACCACAGCATGTTACGTCGACTAGAACACTGGCTCGGGGAGGAAGCGTCACGCTCTGTTCAGCAATACGGAGTACGTCGACACGCATTCCGTCATCCTGCACGTTGATTGCTCGCTGGGCTGAGAACGTGACGCGGCGCTCTTGCAGATCAATGATAGCTCCATTTTCCTGTAGAAAATCAACTCCCAGAATGACGTCACGGGAGCATTCACGTAGAACAAGGCAGCTTGCTACGAATATGTACCCTTGAATCTGTACTCTAGTTGTGCAGGCACCCAGTGGAGTAACGACATGGCCACCAGCTGTCCGAATCTGCGAGTTATGCCATGGTGTGATCACTTTCTTCAGCTGCGTTGTCAGTTTC